TGATCTTGAGGCCTCATCAGAAGAGATTATTTAGGAAGCTAAACAGGGTCTTTGCTAGATGTACTTTATTGTATTTTCTTTTCCATGTTTAAATAGATCTCTGTACCTACTTCCCATTTTGTCAGAAATAAATCAAATTAACTTTGTATTTGAAGTAAAAAATGGGTGTTTGTTCTCACTGCAGGACCTGATAAACCTTTATCCAATGCTGGTCAAAACACATAAATCTAAATGTTTATACATAAAATATCAGATTAGCTTTTAGCTCACTTCGCTTGTAAATTAATCATTTTCGGTGTTGTGCATCTTTTTTTTAGCTTACACATCTTCTTTAATGGTTAAACTGTTAAACACCTTCTGAATCTTTGTTTTTTTTGCTTGTGCTCTCTTTCCAGGAGGACAGCCCCATAAAAGGAGGAGAACCTCGGAGCCCATCGAGATCGAGGACCGTCTCGAGTCGTTGATATGTCGAGTGGGGGAGAAAGTAAGCACAGAAGAAGATTAGCATCAGGAATTAGAATTTAAATAAACCCTTGTGTCCTCTGAATAAACACAACACCTCCGGACTGTTTCTGACACGATCGCTGTCAGGAAGATGTTTAGAGGTTTAATATTAAGTAGGGTTGTCAAAAGTATCGATACTAAAACGTAATAACATGCTACCATTAATCAAGTACATATCCAACTCCACCCACATCCAAGTCAGACATTTTGATTAGGTCACCAATAGGAAGATTCCAGGCAAGAAAATCCTAATTGCTTCATGGCAATATAGACATTAATTTAAGAATAGTGAAATTAATCTTTCAAACACTGAATTAAACTCTATCCATAATATTATGTTAAAATAGTGGGTGTTAAATAGGTTTGTACAATAAGTCCAAACAAGTTTAACCAAAAATATTTATTTCTCACAATTATGAAGGCTGGAGGGTTTGGGTTAGGGTTAGGGTTAGGGTCAGGGTTAGGGTTAGGGTTAGGGTTAGGATTAGGGTTAGGGTTAGGGTCATTAATGTGGGCAACCATAACATCAGTAACAGGTCAGTTTGAAATGAAAGACACAATTCAGTT